TTTAAGAAAAAGTGATACTGGAGAGATTTGAAGAAAATCAAACAAGCAAAAAAAAACAAATGAACAGCAAACCAAGCCAACCGATAACTCCACAGAAGAAAACTTTTGAGAAAGCATACTGCTACAGTTTGGATGTGTCCCCTGATTTTATCTGATGGAGCTTTAAGCCCCCGAATTATGTTACCAGTGTGGGATGTGGGCCTTTGGGAAGAAAGCTTCCATAAAGTGGATCTGTCTGTCTGTGAACTGACAGACTGACAGGCTCCCGGGGGCTTGCTTTACCTTGCTGCATGATGCCCCACTATGAGATGATACAGCAAGGCCTTCCCAGAAGCTAAGAAGATCCTGGTGCTGTGCGCAGAGACCTCCAGAGCCAAAATAAGCCTCTTTGTTTTAGAAATTACCCAGTCTCAGGCATTCTGCTACAGCATCCGGGAACAGGCTATGGTAAACAGTCAGGAAATAAAGTTCACTTTAGCATTTTGGTGACAGGCCAGACGGTGGTGACACACACCTTTAATCCCAGCACTCGGGAGGCAGAGACAGGCGGATCTCTGTGAGTTTGAGGCCAGCCTGGTCTACAGAGTGAGTTCCAGGACAGCCACAGCTGTTACATAATGAAATCCTGTCTAAAAAAAACAAAACAACAACAACAAAAAAAAATTTGGTAACAGAATCAGATGTTCTTTAAGTAAACTTCCATTTTATAGGAATTGTTTCAAATGCACACACTGAGTATCTAATTCACTTATTTCAACAAATATTTGTTAAGTACCTACTGTGTGTCAAATGGGCTTCTAACAAGACAGACGGCACCTCAGCTCAGAAAACCTGTTTAACGTAGAGATGTAGAAACCAATCTAGATCATTTCAGACTGTAAATACCATGAAAAATAAAGTGACTGGTGAGTAAGGATGTGGCTCCTTTGGATGAGATGGTCCAGCAGACTTTCTTGTGAAAACAATATTTGGACTGACTCAGATGGATGAGCCGGTGTCAGCCACAGAGTCAGGAGCCTGGGTCCCAGAGCTGAAACGCAGGCTGTCAGTCACACAAGAGCTCCATTTACAAAGCTGATAGCAGTACTCTCTAGAGCCGTGGGGCGCTTTAGCTTAGAATGTTCCAGGCATGCGTAAGCTAATCCTCTTGTATAATTAATTTACTCTGTGTAAGTTGATTTGCACAGCTATTGACCTGCACTCAGTCCAGATGGCTACAATGCAACCAGATTAGTGAGGTGTGATTCAGACTAGTCCAGAAAATGAGCCTCCGCCAACTTGAGGCGGGAGTCAGCTGTGCAGGTTTCCCACTTCTGAAGACAGGGAAAACAAGCCTAGGAATCGCTGTAGTGTGAAGGAGGGGAGCTTGGAATTATTTCTGGAATGAATCCATTGTCTACTCCTATAGTCCTAACACCAGGAAGAGGAAATATGAGTAATTGCTGCCCAAGACTGAAGCTGGTTTTCACAGTGAGAAATCCTCCTTCTCTGGGAATGCTAGTCTGTGGGATTTTGTAAATGGCTTTTATAATTACAGGCTATACTATTAAAGACGGGCCATTCAATTAGCCATTTGCCTCCGTGGACTGGGGAGATCCCATAATGACAGGTTAATGGATTCCATGCTTAATAAAAGTAAAAGGGACCATTAGACTGCTCGTAAAGTCGACAGTGTAACTCTGCTGGCCACTAGTTCCTTGTTAAACTGGCCTCAAAATCAAATGCATGTCAATCCCTAGGACTCCAAACTGGTTTAATGGGTTTCACAGATGTGCTCAAAGGTGGCTTTCCCAGCAATTGGAAATTGGGGCATTGGAAGCTTAAATGAAGGTCATATGTAACCTCAGGTTACTCTAGACACAGGACACCTAAGCCTGGTTCTCTGCTTCCTGAATCTCTCAACTGGTCCTACTTACTCCAGGAACTGTGCACTCTCCAAGCCAGTTCTGAGGGGAAGATCCAGGCCTGCTTCCGAGGAATTCAAGGCGGACTGGGAGCTGGCGGTGGCCCAGGGCAGTGTGGGGCTGAAGTAGTCGACTCCTGAGAAGGGCAGGGGATAAAGAATTAGGTCTGCACAGTGGGAGGGGAAATGCCAGCCACGTTTAGCTGGTGGGCATATTCAAGAACTGTACTTTCGGGGATCAGGACTGAGGTGGTCATCCATTTGTTCCAGGGGAAGGAGGAATATTATGGGATGTCCAGTTCAAAATAGGTAAAAAGATGGGTCAAAGACTGGGGTCTAAATATCCAAGAACAAGTGGGCACCAGATGGCTCCCTACAGCATGCTTTGCGAACCTCACTGCACATCGAAATCTAATGGCATCTTGCTAAAAACGAAGCCCTGGATTCGTTACTTTGGGTTCTACAATCCCCAAAGCATACATCTTGTGGCAGATGCTGCTGGTTTATGTACTACCCTTTGCATATCAAGATTTCAGAGTAGAAGGCAAGATCCCTCTTTTGTCATGGATCCAAGGCAATGGTGAGGCCTTGTCCTCTAGAACCCGAGCAATAACATCCCTACTGCCCAACAGCACTGCTGAGGGAGAGGGCGTGTCCACCTGTGGCTTGGAAACCATGGAACCCTACCATTAACTCCAGGGAAGGGCCAAGCCACTTGCTTTTGGATGAGGCTCAGAGCACAACGATGCTAAATCAATCAGCATAAGGAAATCATTGAACAGAAATAAAGATAATTCCTTTCTTGGTCAAAGGAAAAACCTCTTTTTAAATGTAAAAGAAAAAAATCCCTCATTGGTTCCACTATGGCCAGTGCACCGAGTGAGAGAGAGTCTCCTGCAGAGAGAGACTTGAACAACACTCTGGTCCGGGTCCGCTGACAGGGTGTATGAGTACTGCTCTCCCATTCTAGCCTCTGGGAAAGTGAGAAAGGGATGGTCTCCTCCAGGCCACTTTCCTGGGCCGCCGTATCCTTTCTCATTACTGTGCAAAATACTGAAAGACACAATGTAGCAAAGGGAAGGTTTATGGGGACTCAGAGTTTCAGTTCACACGGCAGAGTTTGTGGCAATGCCAGTGTGAGACAAGGGCGCCTCACTTCTCGGTGCATCAGGAATCAGAGGACAGAGCCAGAAACAGGACCAGGCTGTGACCGCGAAGCCTGCTCCCAACAGCCTGCGTGTGCACCCAGGACCCTGTCTTCCACAGAGCGCCACAAGCTGGGGACTGAGTTTTCAAAGACCTGCCGGGGACAGTTTCCATCCAAATCTTTCTTCTTTGTTTGTTTTAACTCGGTGCTGTGACAGTTTGTGTCTACTTAACTAGGCCGTAGTCATTTGTGGTCCGGTTGCACACAGGTAGGTATGAAGAAGGCGTTTTGTAGCCGTGGATGATGTCTAACCCTGCAGTCAGCTGTCTTTGAGGAAAAGACTGAAGAGACAACCCACGTTTCTCTAAAGCATTTGAGCTTCCACGACACTGGAGAATCTCCAGTCTGCAGCCTGCCCCGTTGAGTTCAGACTTGCTAGTCTGCAAAAGCCCATGAGCCAATTCCAAGAAATAAATTTTATTAGTACACAGAATCTACCCAGCATCATTCATGGTCCTGTACTTATGAATTCGAGTACTTAAACTTATCTGTAATCCCCACACCAATATGTTCAGCCTTCATCCAACCATTTTCCAGTTTGTTCAGGACAGCAGCGCGTTGCAGCTACCCAGAGCACACATTTCCTGCTGAGGCTGAATGAGATGATGATCTCTCCTTTCGTTTCTCAAACTATAAAAAGGTATTCTTTTGGTGGTCCATTTAGCCACAATTTTCACATTTTTTCTGGACAGTGTCACTGTTAGAAATAACCCTGAAGAATGGTGCTGACATGCTGTCTAATGTGCTTAAGCACCAGAAGACAGTGATATGCCTTATGGGGAACATATGTGTCGGACAGTCTTCATTCAGGCATAAGATACAGTGCTGGCTGTGAAGCCCATGTTACTGAGCCAACAGCATACACTGAGTAAGGCAGCTTTAAAGAGAAACACACATAAAACAAGGTTGCTGAAAATGTGACCAGGGATTCCCAGGAACCTAACCTTTTATTTTCCTCAGGAGCAATGGCCCAATAATTGCTAATTCAATGTTTGTGGATCCTAACCCCCACAGACAACAACAGGAGTCGGTCCTCTGTGGGTGTGTGTGCATCCTACTGATGCCATCCCATGCCGTCCATTCCTGGGGTGAGCAGAACACGGATGACGAACCTCCTTTCTTTCTGTCTTTGTGTCCCTGGCGACACTCTGCAAAGGGGGACAGACTTCACAGAGAAAGCACGCCCACGTGCCCACCTCTAATGCATGGGAATAGTTCCTTTCCCTTCCTAGCTCACATTGCAGACCATGAAATCATCTGGATGGTGCTCCGTCTCCCTGACACAGGCAGAAGTAGGCTAGACTGGGTAATAAGTGGGCTGCATTTCAGCATTTGTAATGTAATTTGGGTGATTACTTTGCCAATAAACCAATCATGTATATTCTAATTTGAGCATCTTTACCAAAAATAAACTTCTTTGTGAATGTATGAGAAGATAATCAGACTGTCTGCAAGGCACTGGGCCTATCACCCAAGGTACAGAGAGACCAGCCTGCCTCAGAATCAAAAAAAAAAAAAAAAAAAAGCCCCAATTCAAGGATGCTACCCCCTCTGTCTTTCATTCCAATGGTCAGGGTTAGTCTTTCCAGAGGCCGTGGTGTAACTCCAGCCTACCTGGTCAGTGGCTGCCAGCTCCGTTCCTGATTCTGAACCATGTTACACTGTCACACGAGAAAGTGATTCTTTAGTGCAAAGTCCACCCACTTCCTTAGCTACCCAAGCTCACACCCTTCACGGAGCCGTAGCCCATCTCTGCAAGTAGGAAGAATCTTCACATGGCCCAGGGGCTGATCTTGATGGGGGCAGTGAGGGAATGGGAAAAAACTAAACATACAGACACACATACAGCTGAGTTCAGGTAGACTGGGCTGTCTGATGGAGAAACCGAGGCACCGGAAGCTCAGCGTGTTTATTACATACAGCTGAACAGAGAGGTGGCATTGTTGCATACAGTTGAAGAAGGAGGCGTTCTTACAGAGAAACAAGGAGGCGGAGTTTATGGTGCACATCTGGATCAAGGGGACAGGTATGGCTAATCTTGGTAGGAACAGTCTCTGTAGGGGAGTGTCTATGCAGAAACCACAGCTTCCATATTAAAGGGAATAAGAGATACTTTAGTCTGGAGCCATTTTGAGTGACTATGGCCTGGGAATACAGGTTTAGGTTACCCCAAATTCCATATTCCAACATGGAAGCAGTTTCACAAAGTTTTCATAGTTTTAGAGAACAGAGAAGTCATAAATCAAGGCAAGTTTAAAATACGTTGGTGGGTACATCAGAGGCAGGAACACGGAGATGAGGAAGATTTCACAGGCCGAAGATGCTGTCTGATGGCATTCTTAGGTTTTGGATTGGTAGAAACAGAAGTCAGTTGCCCACAAAGTCAACAGATTCCAAAATGCTTTTATCCACTGTTACAACATGTTAGTTCTGACAGAGGGGTATGTGCACTCGTATGCGTGTGTGCGCGCATGCGCACGCGTGCGTGTGCATGTGCATGTGTGTGCACACGTGTGCATGCTAGAGGGCCAAAACTTAGCCCAAGATATGGTCATTAGCCTCCGGACCTGCAGCATTCCAACCTCTCCTCAGCTCTGAGATTCTGCTCAGCCAATCAGTCTCTACAGATGGATTCCTTCTGGAGTTTTCATTCAAGGTCAGAAGCAGCTTTTCAGAAGTTTTCGTTCATAGGAACAGTCTTCAGGCTGTAACTCTCCAGAGAAAGCAAGCTGTGGTGGACATTTCCCTGCACACACTCTCAACACCCACACATGGACCCGAGGAAGGCTTTGCCATTTCCTTGAGCCTCGCCCTGGGACGGCTTTGCCAATTTCTCCTGGGTCTGAGGCCGCTGTCCTTGACATGGCCACGCCCATGTTAACAGCACACTCTCACTCAGGACTCCACACACTCGGGGCTCCCTTCACTTCCCACACCTACTTGCCTGTTTGGCCCCAAAAGGCTTGCTTACAAAAAAATTCTCTTTTTGCTCTGAGAACATGCCACAGCTTAGAATGAGAACCATGCACAAGCCACCAGTGAGCCTGAAATAAAATGTGGTGGGAACAAAAAGAGCAGAGGCTTCTTTTGTGCATGCCTTCCAGGAAATCAGAACACCATTCACTTCTCAGACACCCACAGCACACGTCAAGTGTCAACAAGTGTTCATCACAAATAGAGGGAGAGGAGAACGTGCTACCATTTGAAATGTATCTGCATCCTCAAGTCTTTGCCTGAGCTATCATTTCTGCAAGCCCTGCAATTAAATGAGAGAGAGAGAGAGAGAAAAAAGAATAGGGTACAATGTCAACTGTTGAATTTAGGTTGAGGTTATATAAATATGCTGGGGGATGTCTTTCTGTGTGCTGTGAATATATATTGTTCCCATTGGTTAATAAATAAGCTGTTTTGGCCTATGGCAAGGCAGCTTAGAGGCAGGTGGGAAATCCAAGGAGAGAGACAGGAAAGAGAAAGGCGGAGTCTGGGGAGATGCCAGCTGTCGCCAAAGGAACAACATGCCAGCAGACCGGCAAGCCACAGAACACTTGGTAAAACATAGATTAACAGAAATAGGTTAATTTAAGATATAAGAACAGTTAGCAAGAGGCCTGCCATAGGCCACACAGTTTGTAAATAATATAAGCCTCTGTGTGTTTACCTGAGTCTGAGTGGCTGTGGGACATGGGTGAGAGAGATTTGTCTGGACCGCAGGGGGTTGGGCAGGATCCAAGAAACTTCTGACTACACAAATATGTTCATTCAACTATTTTAAAGCACTTTGAATTTTTGAAATTTTTTCATAAAAAAGGGATTCATATTTATTTTCAAAAATTCCTTGCCGTTTGATGTTTAGCAATTCCCACAACATTAATGGAATTCTAAACTGTTATAAAGGTAGGAGAGAAGCTGTTTTGTCTGTGACTAACTTGGTAAACTACATGAGAGTCATACTACATAAATGTAGTGCGGGAAGTGAGGAATGTTATAGACCTGTGTCATAGGCCAGCTTGAAACAAGTCAGCTCAGCTCCCCCAAGAGATGACTGATGAGCTTCTCAGGGCTCGCTCTTAGGATACTTGACTGGGGATCCAGTGTGGCTCTGCCAAGGACTATGCCCCCACCTTCTCTGCCTTCCTTTGTCCTTAGCTGCTGGTGGCCTCTGAGGGGATGCTGTTGAGGCAGAGGCTGGGGAAATATGATCCATGGGCCCAAAGAAGCCCATACTTTGTTGTTGTTGTTTTCTCTTTTGGGGGGCCCACCACCCAGCTCCCAAATAAATCACACATGGAATCTTATTCTTAATTATGAATGCCCGGCCTTAGCTTGGCTTGTTTCTTGCTAACTTTCCTTAACTTAAATGATCCTGTCTACCTTTTGCCTCTGGACTTTTCCTTTTCTATTAGTATATACTTCTCTTTGTTTCTTACTCTGTGGCTGGCTGTGTAGCTGGGTGGCTGGCCCCTGGAGTCCTCCTCCTTTTCTTGCTATTTCTTCTCTCCGCCCAGATTTCTCCTTCTATTTATTCTCTCTGCCTGCCAGCCCTGCCTATCCTTCCTATTGGCCGTTCAGTTCTTTTTTAGACCATCAGATGTTTTGGACAGGCACAGTAACACAGCTTCACAGAGTTAAACAAATGTAACATAGACAAAAGTAACACACCTTAAAACAATATTCTACAACAATTCCCTAATTTTAAAGTGAAGTTTTAAGATGGGTGGTGGTGGTGCACACCTTTAATCCCAGCACTTGGGAGGCAAAGCCAGGTGGATCTCTGTGAGTTCAAGGCCAGCCTGGTTTGTAGAGTGAGTTCCAGGACAGGTACCAAAACTACACAGAGAAACCCTGTCTCGGGAAAATAAAAAGAAAAAGAAAAAGAAAAAGAAAAAAGAAAAAAAAAGTGAAGCTTTAGAAAAATAGTCCATGGTCACTTGTTTGTGCACCATCTCTCTGTAGATGGCTTTTGCTGCACAGTGACAGAATTAAATAGTCCCACAGACTTTATGGCCCATCACATTGCAAATTCTCCCCGCCACCTGACACTTTGTAGTGTTTCCTGACCCCCAAGTCAATTGCTCACATTGAAGTATGACAGTTTTAACATGCTACTCCTCCAGGGATTGCTTGAATTTTAATAGGGAGGTAATTTCTTCATCTAAAGAAATTAATGACTAATAAGATTTTGATCATTAGCAATGGGATGCTCAGGGGAATATTATAGAGTGGGGGAACTTCTTAAGCTCAATTACTACCCACTCAACTTACCCACCAATGAAGTTGTGGGTTCATCTATGAAGGATTTTAATAAAGGTCAAGGGAGGTATAATGATTGGGGCAAAGGCTCTAAGATATTAGTCTGAGAACACTTGAGGAGTACCAGACACACAGATGCAATGCGCCTCAGTCTCACTCAAATTAGTTGGGTTTTCTATTCCTCCCTCCCTCTCTCCTTCCTTCCACCCCTCCATCCCTCTCTCCCTTCTTTTGTGGTATTGGGAATAGAATCCAGGGCTTTGCACATACTAAGAATGTTCTAATGAGCTACACTTTCAGTCCCTAAGTGTTTATTATGAGCACTAGAAAAAGATCAGAAACATTTGGAGGTCATGTAGAGGGAACTGTATTAGTGACTTTGTTTGTGCCCTCATGTTTTGGATTCTTAGTTTGCACAGGTATACTACCTCACAAAGATTTCTTTCTATAAGGCACATGGATGATTACTCTCTCTGATGATCCACGAGCAATTGTGCTTATCTCTAAAAAAAAAAAATGCCATCAACAGAACACAGGAAGGAACTCATGGCACAGCCTTGCCTTGGCACTCTGGGCTCTCTTTGGGGCAGTCATTCAGCAGACCTGGCAAGACTGTGAGGCAGCCGAGGCACCCCAGGAGACAGGACACCTGACCTCCCACCCTGCGATGACTGAGTCTGGGAAGTTACACTGCTCACACTTGCATTTCTTCAGAATTCTACAGATCATAAACCAGATTAGTCTTTCCTTCGGTCCTTAGGACGATGTGAAAATTACCACCTCCACTGCACAGGTAAGGCAACCTGGGACCTAAAGCTAAATGGCTCCTCTAGATCAGTCAACTACTGTGGTCCAGTCAGACCCAAATCCCAAGGCTTTTGAGTTGTTACTGTGTAGAGGTTTTTTCCCCTGCATCCATCTCCATGCTGGAGGGATTCTCAGACTGAGCAACATTAGACTGGCCATCACTCACTTTTCACCTAGTTCTCATTCATATTCTTCTGCCCGACCCTCTCTTCAGACAGTCTTGCTGAATACCCAGGTCAGCCCCATTCTCACAATCTCCCCACCTCAGGCTCCCAAGGGCTTGAATGACATATGTTCACCACCCCAAGGCCACACCCAACAGTCTTGAAAGCTGAGGCTTCCTTGTTCTTTCCTTGTTCCTGCACAAGGGTGGTAATAGGGAGCCTAAAGAGATTTCAATAGACTCACTGGCCACAGTAGTCCATGCACATTATCTCAGCTCCCAGAGGCTGCTGAGAGTTGGAGACTAGCCTTAGCTATGAGAAAGGACCTTGATCCCAAACCAACAAGCAAACAAAGCTCTGAGTGACTAAATTCTCACTGAAGAGCAGTCACGAGCTCCCCACGTTTAATCTCAGGATGCTCTGAACCTGACTCCTGGACCCTCCTATAATTGAAGGTCTTTCTGTAAACCAGAAAAAAAGCGGACCACTTCCACAATTGTGCTTTGTGGTGGTTTGAAAGAAAATGGCCCCCAAAGGGAGTGGCACTGTTAGGAGGTGTGACGTTGTTGGAGGAAGTGTGTCCCTATGGGAGTGAGCTTTGAGTTCTATGCTCAAGCTACTCCCAGTGACACAGTTGACTTCCTGTTGACTTCTGATCAAGATATAGACAGTATCACATCTGCCTGCATGCTGCCATGATGATAATGGACTAAACCTCTGAAACTGTAAGCCAGCCCCAATTTTAAAAAAAATTTTTTTTATAAGAATTGCCATGGTCACAGTGTCTCTTCACAGCAACAGAAACCCTAACTAACACATGCTCCTTCCCCAGGGGACCTAGTATTGGGTCAGGGCACCTCAGCAAACCTTGGCATACCAAATCCAGCTCATGCTTTTCAACTCAGACAAGATGCCACATCTAGACAAACATAACATAAGCGTCCTGTGCCCACTAGCCAGAGCCTTCACTGATCTAAAGGGATATTTCTCAAAATAAATAGAAATTGGTTGAGATGAACAGAATCTATATATGATAGCCGATATCACACAGTTTATCAAGAAGAAGACAACCCTGTCCTAAACTCGGCATGGCTTGAATGAGGACTCAGCTCCTCTGAGCCAGAGTTGTCTGTTCACCAGCTCATCTCCTTCCTGCTGTTTCACCCTCTCAGAGGCAGCCAGGTTCCTCTTTGCATTCCATTCAGGTCTCTCCTCTGAGAGATCCTTGGATCAGAGGAGACCTATAGATAGCAGAGGGGTGGGGTTACTCCCGGGAGCTGGAGAGTACACAGTCCCTTACCTTTGCCACACAATGATGGGGTGCCCTGCCGGGGTAAAGAGCCTTCTTCAAGCCCACACACTTCAGGAGGCCAACTGCCACCAGAGCACACTGGTCTCTTCTCATTCCTTTAAACATTCTGGGGAGCCCACGTCATCCGGAGGACACGGGACGAGGTCCAGTTGAGCCCATTAGTCACATTGGAATCACCTTCCTGATCAGAGATCAAAGACAGTGGGAGTCATCTTTGAGCTATTTTCTTAAGGGATTTAAAGGAAGAATAAATGCAAGAGAAAAAAGTGGCTCCACTAATCCCATCAGACCTGAACAAAAATGCCCGTGAGTGTGCAGCTATTGAGAATAAAGGGCAGAGGCACGCAGGCCCAGAGCCAATCCCAGCCACTCCTCCTTCACGGCCACTGCCAAGCAGCACTGTCAATGAGACTTGGGGGGTGGGGAAGTAGAAGCAGATGTTCAGACCGAGACCTTCAAATGACGTTAGTTTGCTCAGTTTCCAAGGTGTTCACCTTCCATGTTGTACAGTGAGTCCTGTGATTTTACAGTCTTGTTGGATAACTTAAATTTGCCTTCAGTAACTTCATGTCACCTCTTCTAGCTTGTTTTTTTTTCATTTTTCTTTATTAAGAAATTTTCTACTCACTCCACATGCTATCCACAGACCCCCCTCCTCCCTCCTCCC